ATTTTTTTTTTTTTTTCAATATTTGAGTATAACATCTTGATTCATCATCCTGTAGATATGCAACATTTTAGCTATATAAATTTTATATAGCTAAAAATGTAAAAATATAAAAATTTCTAGAATTTTTATAGCTCTTTCATTTTACAAAAGTGATGAAATAAATGAGAATTTACACAATCCACGTATACAATTTCTGTATGGCAATATGCTACAATAAAATTGCATTTGAAATAGCATATCCGTATTATCCACATAGTTTTATATACATGTACTCAGTATATGTTAAAATTATTTAATTTTTGATCTCATCAATTATGCATTTAAAAAAATTGCATAAAATCTAGTTTTTATTACAGAGAAAAATATGGAAACTCAATTTATTGCATTCTTTTTTATTTAATTTTAAATATTTCTAAATGAGGACCACTTTGTCTTGTCTTCATATTTTGCATGTCTTGAGATTTTAATACTACAATGTTCTGTTTCCTGCTTTCATTTCCATTCACATTATTTTAATCTGTATATACAGAATAAATTGTAAGAAGCAATTTATTCTTTGTTTACAGATTATTAAAATTATCTAAGCTTGTACGGATACAGACTTAGATAACTTAACAAAATTTTAAAAGAAGGAAATTTAATAGAATAGTGCTGTATTTTATTATTAGAGATTTTATTCTATCCTCTTAAAAATTGAATTTTTTTTTCTTTGTGTTTGTCCTAGTCCTATTAATATGTAAAACAAATTTGAGTATATTAGTAAATAAAAATATAAATCTTAAACTAATTTTCTTTTAGTTCAGAAACATCATACCATCATGTTTGATCATTCCAAGTTTTTTATTTTGTTTATGTGTAACATGCAGTGAATATTGGTCAGAATTTTATATAGTTGGAACATCAGAAGAATTTTTAAGTGAGTTAAATTTACTTGAAAATTTTCTTAGTTGAAGTTGCAATGTTTTTAATTTGTTATTAAAATATTTATATTATGTTATTACTTCCAATTCTTAGTTTATTTCATAAATTTTTACAAGACTAGTTTTAACATTTTGATATTAACAGTATAAAATTTTTACTTTCAGATATGCATAAGAGACGTAGATTTTTGCTGTGTTTTTTGAAATTTGATTTTTTGTTAGTTGTAAGTATTTATTATTAGAGAGGTTGAGGCGCACGTTTTAAACGTGTAAACGTGTATGTGTGACGTTCGGCGCCGCTTTCCCGTAAGCCTAAAAGTTTGACAATGGTGTTTGGATAGTCGGTGGAATCACGCTCGACATTCCAAACACCATCGTCAAACTTTTAGGCTTACGGGAAAGCGGCGCCGAACGTCACACGTACACGTTTACACGTTTAAAACGTGCGC